ATATTATTAATAACAGTTATGAGATCATATAATTGTGAATGTATATATTAAATTTTATTTAAAAAAAAAAAACTCCACTAAGAGAAAAACTCTTTTAAAAGTTTGTTTTCACATTTATTTCTTCCAGAAAAGAGGAAGAAGAACAAGAGGTTGGTGCCGTGTATTGTAAAAACATTGATGACGTGCTTCGACAGTCTGATTTTGTGATGCTGGTTGTAAATTTGACATCAGAGACTCATAATCTCATAGGAAAAAGAGAGCTAGAATTGATGAAACCCACAGCCACACTCATCAATATCTGCAGAGGTGGGATGCAACACTATCCAAATGTATATTTCCGTTGTTTAAACCATTGATGGTTTCAAAAAACTTTCTTGGTGGGTCGGTATTCTGTATTTTGCTTGATTATTTCTTGATAAAATATCAGTCATGCAAAATATATTTGTACCATTCCAAAATCCCCTTTCTCTTAGGTGCAGTTGTTGACCAGGATGCATTGGTAGAAGCACTCCAAAATAAGGTTATTAAGGCTGCAGCTCTGGATGTGACCTATCCTGAGCCATTGCCAAGGTAAAATAATACAATGTTCCTAGATCAGAATAAAAGGACAATAAATCCGGCATGAAATAAATCATGATGATATTGTATAGATTCAGAAGAGCATTCTTACTATAGGAACTTCTGCGTTGGCCCACTTTACTGTCCTTGCCACCCTCTCATTTTCTTTGATACTACACTTGATCTTAGCCAAAAGGCAGAGACATTTTCTTAGTGTTATGGAGAAGGAAGAGGAGAATTAATTATAATCAGACATCTTTAAGCTATAGCAGGAATTGCATCATTTCTCAGGAGTACCAAAACCCCATAATGTTGTAGTATTGTAATCTGTTAGGCTGAATCTAAAGCAGTCCGAGCCAATGGTAAGCCAAACTACATCATGTTTTGAACCTCTCCCCCCCCCCTTCCCAGCAGATTTTCCCAAAGTTTATGAAAGTTTATGAAATTATGACAAGAGTGAGTGGTGTTCCCACTGAACTCTGCAGTTTGCCTCCCTATTGGTTTAGAGTTATCCGTAATTTATAATTTTCTTTGGACAGACTGAAATCCAGACTTTTAATTTAAACAAACTAGAAGCCTACAAGGAATTGATAGTATGGAAAATAAATTAGAAGCAAGTCTATACCCTAGCCTGGAGAGTTTACTGCATAATAATCTGTTTATAGTCGACTAGTACAGCCAATTTATCCAGTGGTGAAATTCAATTTTTTTTAACTACTGGTTCTGTGGACGTGGCTTGGTGGGCGTGGGAGCAGAAACCGGGCAGCAGAAGCTTTTTTGTTGGTTTCTGTCTTGAAGCAGTTGTTTTCTAATTCCAATTTGCTCTGGCTAGGTGAGTCTAATTTATCCTGCCCTGCTTTCTCTGCAGAGATCACTTGCTATTGCAGATGAAGAATGTCATCATAACACCCCACATTGGCACTGCTACAGACCAAGCCCTGCGCATGATGACAGAAGAAGCAGTGGAAAATATCCTGGCAGTTCTCAATAATCTTCCCGTTCCTAGTGAAGTGATCTCAAAATGACTTGATGGAGAACATACAAAAAAAAATCATGAATTATTAAGAACAGGACATTAACCTCTGGGAAACATGACAAATAGCCAGACAACATATTCCTATCAGTTTCAAAATGTGTGACTGTGATTATTTTTTATAATTACATTAATTCCATAAGTCACCCAGAGTCACTTTGAAACAAAACAGATGGCAAATAAATTTGATTAAAAAAATAAAATAAAATCCCATTGGAAAAAAGCTTGTTCTGAGCTTTTGATCATTGTCGTTGGGTTTCTGATTCCTTCATCCTTCTATCACTAGCAAACAGATACACCTCTTTGGAAAATGAGAACAACAAATTCAGAAGAGTTAAGGTTTAGGACTCTTAAACATCACATCAAGGTTCAAAAGTAAAAAAATACATGAATAGTTCCAGCATAAAATATTATTTGAGATTTTAGTTTTCATGTTTGAAAAGATCTTTCTCCTGCATTCTTAACCTGCAGATATAATTGTTGCCATCTTTTGAAAATTACACAAAGAAGAGCACAACCCAAATACAACAAACCGTGCTTGCTTGCCCATGGTTTGCTAGACTAGATGAGAGATTACTTAGAAATGTCAAATGTTATTCACCCATATTTATTGAATAAAACCCAGTTGACTGAATTCACACAACCCATTAATCCATATATATAAGATTAACTAGTTGCTATGGTTGAATTGACACAAAAACAAGCAAAACATTATTGCCAAACGTAGTTGTGAATCAAGACATAATTTTCTGATCTTGGCTAGAAAGTGGTGACTGCTGAAGCTTTCAAATTTTTCATGGCATTCAAAAGCTGCATCTATTAACGATACATAATTGATTAGATAATAGTATTTTAAAAGGCCTGAAGAACAAATTGTTCTGAACCAACTTGCTTTTTATGTTTTTTTAATAGAACAAACAAATTTCAAGACATAATTTAGAAATCAGGAAGAGAAACCAAAATATATGCTTGTATTGCTGACAGAAAAAGAAAGAAATACAATGCACTTTAAACTTTACAAATGCAACATTTGTTAAGATAAGAGTGATCTATTTACAAAATAATATAGTTAAGATAGGTGATCAGTCTTGAATAAACACTTCACAGGAGGTATATAAAGCCCATTGTGACTGTTATTTTGCAACCAAAACAAAAGTCCATATCTTTAAATTCCAATTATTCAAAGAAAAATATTTTTAGGATGTACTCAACGGTATGTTTAATTATTGATTATTATTATTCTTTTAATTTGATTCGTGTAATTTTTAAAAGCTAGCAATACAGAGCTGCTAATAAAAATGTATTTTCAAACAGGATCAATATTTTCAAACTGCATTCTGATTTATAAAGAAACTTGAATGATAACTTAGAATACTCATGCAATAATTAGGAAGTTTTAAAAAAGCAGTATTTTTGCTTTGTTTGTGCCTACATAATTTCTTTAACAATGAAATTAAGATCCAATAAAGAAATGCATTGTGGTTCTAGCATTTGTTGTTTTTTAAATGGCATAAGCCCACCAAAGCATGGGTGGGCTGCTGCCGGTGTTACTGCTGGTTCGCAACCCACACGCACATGCATTTTGTGCTTGTGCGCGCAGTTCAATCAAATTGTTCTGCGCACATGTGCAGAACAATTTACAGTGAACTGTGCACATGCAGTCACTAATATCCAAAAAGGCAGCGGCCAAGTGGCAGTGAGGGAATCGGTTCAGGGGCAGGGCTGGTTTGCTGCTGGTTCTGTAACCCAGGCCTGAATTCCACTACTGGTTCGGCCAAACTGAGCCGAACCAGCAGCAACTCTCTGCCACAAAGTCAACTACACTTGTATTTTAAGAGTAGAAAATTAAGTAGACACATTCAACTGAAATAAAAAGACTGAAATATGATCAAGACCATAATCCAGCTGCATTTGGTTAAGAGAGAAAAGTTTAACAAATAACTTATTAAGTTACAGCTTGATTCAAAGCTCGCCATTAAACTTTGCCCTTTTCTTATGAAAGATCTCTTTGTTAATAGAAGTGAGAATGCTATAGCTTGAGTTATTACATTGAATCTGGATAATTCAGAATGCACATTAAAGTTTAAATTTCAAGAGACTTGCCGATTCAGAAAAAAAAGGCTTTTCTTGATATGCTGGTGCTCTACCATTTTTAAATATTTGTTTAAAATACCAGTTGTCTGGTTTTTCTACTGTATAAATAATTTCAACTGAAAGGAGTACTCTTGAAGATATATTTTCTTTTACATTCTAGTTTAAAATAACTATTTTCTGGTTAAGACAATGCTCCCAAAATAGAAATAGCCAATAGAAAAATTATGAGAGGCGGTAGCCTTCAATTAAGAATTTCACTAAAGAGAGATACTCGGTTTTCATAAATAGGACAATAAAATCTCAAACTAGGATCTTTCTCTTCAAATCCCCATTCACCAGTACAAGCTTCCAGGATAAGCTGAGCCAGTCCCCATCCTGAGAGATAAATTGGTTGTGAATATAAAACGGAGGTGGAAAACTTTGCATATTCTCTAAATTCCAAAGTCCTTCCCTCTTGGCTTCTTTGGAACTCTGGCTGGGAGAGATTTAAAGATTATCTTCCCACACTGTACTTTGAAACAAGTAACAATCCAGAAGCAAGCTAAGCTGCATTATTTTGTGCAATGGCTGATACTTTTACCGAGGTAATTTATTTTTGTCAAGATGGAGAAAGAGGGACATGAGGAAGAAAAACTGCCATCGATCATCTCTGGCAAACTTGCGCTTTGAATCCAGTGAAATGGAGAGAGAATTGGGGAGCTTTGAGGGGGGCAAAGGGGGCAATTTTAAGTACTATATCTGCAGCAGTATAGCAGCAACTTTTTCTTAACCTGGCATCCTATGGATGTGTATTTTTGTACAATGTGTTAATTTCAATGAATGAAAACAAGTAAATGTCTCGGTTTTCACATCAGTAAAAAAAAGAACATTAGTTTTAATGGTGATAACTTTCAAAAACTGTTAAAAGGTTAAAATGCTATTACCAATACGCTTTTCTAAGTTCAGTAGATTAATAATTGTATACTGTTGTTATAGAAGTATGTGTTATAAAAGTAATATCTATTGGTTTTGTTTAAGTAGATTGTGGAAAAACAGGAGCTACCATATGCATTAATAAATGTCATTGGCGGTCCAGATGGAGTTTATGAAGACCACATAGAGTTTCTGGAGAAACATCTGAAACTTGTCACCATGCAGGAATATCTGAAAAACAAGCACGTGCTTAATGAAAAAATCCAAGCAATATTTATGTGGGCCGGTAAACCTGGAGCTACCAGGGATCTTCTGGAAGAGCTTCGTAATTTAAAAGTGATTGCAGTCTCGGGTGTAGGCATAGACCACCTTGATTTAGAACTGATCTTTCGCTTTGGTATAAGAGTAACCAATACCCCCTTTGAAGTGTCCAGTTCAACAGCTGATATAGGAATGGCTTTGATGCTGGCTTCCGCTAGAAGAGTTGTGGAAGGTAAAATTTAAGTTTTGTTAACCCAATGACAGTATGATGGGGGAAGGGAGAGATTGAGGGGTCCTTGGTGCTCTCTGAGCATGGTTGATTTCTTGCAGACGTTCCATTACCTCAAGTAGGTAACATCATCAGTGCACCGATGCACTGTTTGGGTAATAAAATGTCTGCAAGAAAACAAACTCAGAGAATGTCCAGGATCTCTCATTTCAACTCTGAGCAACAAATATTCTCCTTTATTTGGGGGGTGGGGAAAGAGACTGTTTAAATCTTTTATGTTCCGACGTAATTGGATGGATTCATATTGTTTTAAAAAGACTCCCTTGTAAGGTGCAATGTAACTAAGTATTTTGCCATTGTCTTTAACCCAGAAAAGTTAAAATTTTCCAGTTTAGTCTACATCTCTGAAATGTTCTCATGATTCCCCATCCAAGAACTAGCAAGGTTTGCCTCTGCTTAAAGATTATATTGTGGTCTTTCAAGATATAACAAACTGCTGGATTTATGAACTATCAGATCAGCGGCCCACAATCTTTTGAACACATTATGGAGAGATAGGTTTTTCCGCAGACCAGAGCGATCGTGGTTTTGAGTACTGCCCGCATCCCGTTTCCCCCCCCCCCTGCTTCCAGTCCAATGTACAGATTTGCCCAGACATCTGCCATCATAGCTTCCAAACCCAGCAGAGTTAAATTTGATTCTAGTGATGCCATAGATTGATTTTAATGCCATAATGCAATTCTGGAATATAAAAACATAGAGCGTGTTCTGTAGAACCACTTATTAATGCTGGCAGTACTTTTTTCCTAATCTTTCACAAATGTACATTTTAAATCCATAAATGAATGTTGCGGGGGAAGGCATGCCTGCATCGGCCAAAGAGACAAAGAGGAGCTAGACCAGGGAATCTCGACGGTTCACCGACAAATGCGCGATAGACATATGCGCGCTGACAAAACCAGGCAGACAAAACCGCGACATCAAAATCGTGCCCACAAAAGCGCGCTGACAAATGCACGCCGACAAAATCGCGTCATCAACAAACTACATAGTGGGACGCATATATGTATGTTATAACCCTAACCCTAACTAACTCTAATTGTGCTTGTCATCACGCTTTTGTCGACGCGCTTTTGTGGGTGCGATTTTGACATTGCGGTTTTGTCGTCGCGGTTTTGCCAGCGCGCATATGTGTATCACGCAATTGTCGGGTCACGAATATCGACATACTTTGCCACAAAAGAGTGAGACCTGAGCTATTGAGTATTGGCTGATTTTGTACTACCGTAATCCACTTCTTTTTGGTTTGTTTTTAAACATCTAGGTTATCAGATTGCAATTTCCCCTGACACTAAACATTTTAATATTGACTGGCTGGGACAAGAAATAACTGGTGCAACTCTAGGAATCATTGGAATGGGCCGGATTGGTTACAAGGTGGCTCAAAGAGCTAAAGCTTTTGAGATGAAAATTCTTTATCATAACCGAAACCAAAGGTAATCAGCTCTCAGATTAGATCATAGATACACTAAAAAAAATTTAAACCTATCTATTTTTATATTTCTCTTATGCTTACCATGAATAACTCCCATTGCAGGGATACCTGTATAAAACAGTACTTTTTTCCTAATCTTTCACAAATGTACATTTTAAACCCATAAAGGAATGTTGCGGGTCAGCCAAAGAGACAAATAGGAGCTAGACCTGGGAATCTTCAAACTAGGCAACTTAAAGACCCGTTTCGCATGGCTGGCTGAGGAATTCTGGGAGCTGAAGTCCACAAGTCTTAAATTTGCCAAGTTTGGAGACTCCTAAGCTAGACAGACCTGTTTAATTTTCACTGTACTTGCCAGTAAAACAATATATATTGTACATATATCAAGATTTGTGTTGGGAGAAGATAGGAAAAAAGCATTTTCAACACTGAATCAGATTAATACAGTATGAAATTAAGTCCTTGATGGTGAACCTATCGCACACAAGCCATTGCCCCAGCTTAGCTCCACTGCGCATGCGCCTCCCATTGGCCAGCTGGTTTTTGGATCTCTGCCACACATGTGTGGGGGCGCATGCATGCATGGTTGTGGGGGCTACAGTGCCCCTTCTGCGGTCCACTTTTGCTCCCAGGAAACTGCAGGGAAGTCTACTAGGCCCAAAACATGATGCAGGGAGGGTTGCACATGCATGCACAGGGGGAGTTGGGGAGTCACGTGCACATGTGCAGGGGTGGGGGAGCACACATTACATTAAGGGTGCATGCTTTTGGCACGCAACAATAAAAAGGTTAGCCATCACTGACCTAAGTAGTATTGGTATTAGAATGGGAAGAAGGTTGTATCATGAAGCGGTATTCTTCAAGAATGGCTAGAATAAGGCATCTTTATAACAGGTTAGAGGCCTTGTGGATGTACCTATATGTTCAGATTGCCCTTGTCACTAGTTCTGTGGGTGTATGAAACATCAGTGGAAATATTTCTAGCATTAATAATTAGAACTAAATGATTATGTCCTGCAGAAATGAGGCAGATGAACAGGCTGTTGGTGCGGTTTATTGCCAGAAAATGGAAGATTTACTTGCACAAGCTGACTTTGTGATGCTGGCTGTGAATCTGACCCCTCAGACATGCAAGTTGATCGGGAGAAAGGAACTAGGACTCATGAAGCCCACGGCCACTCTTATCAACATCTGTAGAGGTAGTATAATGATTTCAAACTCATTATAGCCACACTTTCCTTGAATGTGATGAAATAAAAATCATTTATGACATGAGGGAAAATAAGGAATTACAAATAAAATTCTGTCATGAAAATTTAAGACAGAATTATATAACTCAACTGCCCCATCTCTCAATTAAAGAGCTTGAGATATTGTAATATTTTCAAATACTCATACTGGATTAAACTTGTTCTTCCCAATTCATGCCCCATCCCATTTTTAGAATTCCTGGCTAACATTTCCCTAAATGCAAATCTCCTTAGTGTTCTAAGGAATGTTCTTCTGAAATACTTAGGTGTAGACTACCATTATAGATATTCATGGTAGGTAGCCCAACAATTGAGCCCAGAATGTATGTACGCTGCTGAGTGAGAAATTTGTTAGGTGAATTTTGACCCATTTTACATTTTTCTTGCCACATATGTTAAGTGAATCACTGAAGTTATTAAATGAGTAACATGGTTATTAAGTGAATCTGGCTTCCCCATTGTCCTTGCTTGTCAGAAGGTCACAAAAGGTGATCATGTGATCCTGGGATATTGCAACCGTCCTAAATATGAACCAGTTGTCAAGCATCCAAATGTGAATCACATGACCATGTGGAAGCTGAAATGGTCATAAGTGTGAAAAATGTGCTGTTGTAACTTCAAATGGTCACTAAACGGACTGTTGTAAGTTGAGGACTACCTGTATCCATTTTATATTAGGAATATTTTTCTTGCTACTTACTGCTCTTGGGCTTCTGATCTCCAGAAGTAAACCATACATAGGACATGGTGAATATTTTCAGTTAACAAATCAGCAGAGATACTGAAATGTTCACTTTAATTTGTAAATGTTAGTCAATATCTAAAACACCTCCTTGAAATAATAGTCAACCTGAGAACTACAAATATTAATTAAAAACCCAAATGTACACATGAAGCAGATAGGTAACAGAAAAGCATTTCCTTTATCATTTTTTTAAAATAAGCACTCTTGTATTCCTGTCCCTTATGCATGCTCTCATCTTCTTTCCATTCCAAATTTTCTGAAATGTCAAATATTTTTTAAATTCACACTCCTAAAACATTCCTCTCCTGCCAAGAAAATTAATGTTTTGACAGTAAGAAGCTGAGAGGAGCAGCACATTATTCAGGTTCTTCACTATAATGTGGAGTTGCTAATCATTTTGATTCTCCTTTTCACATTTGCAATATTTGTGTGTTATAGTGTGTTAAGCAAAACAGAATTCAATATTTTGATTATGGTTACTTCATAGAGTTGCAAGAAGTCATAAAAAGGTTTCTCCACTAACCCTCAAATCAATAACTTTTCTTTTCCCCAACAATTTCAGACTGAGTTATTGTTACGTATTGATCAATTCTTGTAACCCCCAATTCGTTTTGTCATAAGATTGCATTAGCTTAGACCCCATTCATTCAAAATTCTCCTCATTAAAATATAAGGCATTTTTTCTTTGTTTCCAACATGGCTGTCACCAGAAATGCCAATCTTTTAGTGTGAAAGTGGTATGTATGTCGCATCTAACAATGATTTACTGCTCTCAGAGAAATGACTCTCCCCTTTTAGCTTGGTAAGCAGTATCTCTTGATAGTACTAGTAAAACCCTTGTTCTCTTGTTTGCTTTAAATTCAGGTCAAGTGGTTGATCAAGATGCACTTCTGAAGGCCCTCCAAACAAAAACAATTAAGGCTGCAGCTTTGGATGTAACGTATCCAGAGCCACTGCCAAGGTAAAAATTTATGCATTTAAGAATTAATATGTCAGTGCGAACCTTTGGGCTCTGCTTATTCTTTCATTTTAGGTTTAGGTATTTTAGGTATTCTATCCCAAAATATACTCTGACTCATCTGTGATTCATCTAGACTGAGGATTATTTAAGATAAGAAAGTTGACCATTGATGCCGAAGAAAACAAATGTTTTCTATTAATCAATAGGGTTATATTTGACTAAATAGTATACACCTTTATTGATAGATGTGAGTTGTTGACTCCTAGAGACAACATGGATAGATTGTCTCAGTGTATATTATATGATACAGTAAGTTTATTTAAGTTCTCCAAATGTGAAATTAATCTGCAGCAGCAACGTAGCATAATTTTTTTAGCCAAGATAAATAGACAACAATTATGGAGTTAATTCAGCAGAAGCTGTTCACTAAGCTTTGAATTCAAACTCAAAGAATCATAGCATTGAAAGGAAACACATATACATATAGGTAATCACGTTCAACCTCCTGCTTGATGTAAATATTAATTAATCCAAACCTTTATATTGTGGGGAAAATAACAAATATGCACACAAAGAATTACATTTAGATTTATAAGTATTTAAACATTAGATTTATAGATATTCATAGGTTTTAATTTCATTATGTGAATAGCAATAGCAATAGCAGTAGACTTATATACCGCTTCATAGGCCTTTCAGGCCTCTCTAAGCGGTTTACAGAGAGTCAGCATA